AGACCTGAAAATGTTTCCCATCACTTCTGCTTCCTTCACTGGGATTAGCTTTCAGAGCCTAAGCGCGCATTCTTCAGTAGCTCTTCACTGGTGGCAAATGTCTATACTTTAAAGGGGCATTTAGAATTAAGATCAGTGACAAAAAAAATTGGTCAGGTGATGTAATTCTGTTTGGGATTCTAAACTAAATGTGGTTAAGAAGCCATAAACCTGGTTCTCCTAGGCCGATAGGAGGAGGTTCTGGACAGCATCTAGCAGTGGTTCTCAACCTTCCTAATGCCACGACCCTTTAATACAGTTCCTCATGTTGTGGTGACCCCCAACCATAAAATTATTTTTGTTGCTACTTCACAACTGTAATTTTGCTACTGTTATGAATCATGATGTAAATATCTGATATACAGGATGTATTTTCATTGTTTGCGACCCACAGGTTGAGACCGCTGGCTACAGGGAGTCCCAGCATGTCTGCAATTTTGGAACGTGGTTTCCTAGTGGCTACTTTGAGACAGTGCTCATGTGAATGTGTAGCTTCCAAACCATTTTTAAGCCTCATTACTCGGGTCACAATACAGGTACTGTTTTCCACTTGGAGAACATCAATCTGGAGTCTCCAGGAGGAGCATTTGGGGGCCCCAAGGTTTCATTTTTACCATAAGACCCAGTGAGACTGGAGCCACTTTCTTCCAACTCATGATTTCAGAGCTGCTGGCCCAAAGTCGGGGATGCTAGCCCCAATTCAGTGTGACTCTAATGCGGTGGAATGCTCCATCTACATGGTTCACATCTCATTGCAGTTCATTTCATATGAGCACATCCATTTTCAAGAAGGGGCAGCACAATGACTACGGTCGTTGTAAGGAGTTTACGAGTGTGTATTAGTATTGACTAACTAGAATCAACGTCTTGAAATCAGATTCACTGATGAGGAATTGGTAACTGCCCAGTGATTAGTAAAAACCTCTTATAAACCCAGTCGGGGACAGGGGGTGGTCACATGTTTATCATGTTTATTTCTCAGGTGAAGCAGGGCCACCGCACTGGAGGGCAGAAGGCAGTCACGAGAACTGAGGTGTGTGTGTGTGTGTGTGTGTGTGTGTGTGTGTGTGTATGTGTTTCCTTCCCTAGAGAGGAAAACCTCCCCGCATAGGGGAACCTCCTGGGCCCAAGAGCACCGGCTGCCTCGCAGGCTTTTTCTGATTCCTCTGTTCTTGGTAACCCAGAGCACAGCTGTGTGGCCACCTCTCCACAAAACGAAACCCACAGTCTCCCAGGCTCCAGCCAGAAGAGTGAGCTAGCAATGCACAAACCCCAGAAAATCTGGACTTTGAAAAACTAGGCCTATTTTAATGTCACCTTCAGTCTTTTTGCAAATGCCACTGCCGCAGCCACTGGAGGGGAGATAAGAGTCACCCCAAGCCTAGACCCAGAGTGGTACAGAACAGCAGCACTCCCAGGAGGCTACGGGCCAGAAACCAAAGCAAGTGCCCAGGGGCAGGGAGACCTGGAGGTCCTACTTCCCACGCTAAGCCTTGAAGCTTGAAGGCTGGTCCTTGGTCACGGGATGATGGCATTTTTGTGTTCTAGCTTCAAGCAGGGCAAGGATGCAATCTGAAGAGTAGAGTTCAGTGTCACAAAATGACTTAAATAAACAAAAACCCAACCACCTCCTCCCCAAAAGCAGCTTTCCAAATGGCTGCTTCTCATGCACTCAGCATCCTAGTCAGTATGTCACGTGCCAGGGACTCAGGCTTGGGGTGGAGTCATCCAACCCCCCTCCCCCACTTCCCTGCTCAGCTCCGTTTAGTGAATGTTCAGTCAATATAAACTTAACTTGCACGGCTGTCAACCCCAAGCCAAACATAACCACAGCTAAATCTGCTACTACTCACCCCCTAAAGGCATTCAAAAGTCACATATGCAGGAGTAACGCTCTCCAGCTGTCACAATGACTTGACCTGTGCTTCAGGTTTTCTCATGGCCTGAGGTGAGACTAAGGGGACATGAGGGATTTATCTGGACACATGCTCCCTGGCTGCTTCACACACCATATTAGGCCCCTCATTTATTCTAATGATGCTAGGATTGCTAGCCTTCCCCCCACCCCCCACCCCCCCCACCCCCGTCCCTGTATCTCCCCCCCTTGTACCGCCCTTCCCCGCCCAGCTACTCCCCAACCATCTGGGAACTGCATCCTTTAGAATATCAAAATCCACCTCCTCTGAGGATACATTTCATCTGGGAAAGGAACCAAGTCTGGTGAGCACGGAGGCCGAGACAAGCTGGGTAGCCCCTCTGGAGGAGAGCAGTCCTGGCTATATAAGGTCTTCTCAGACTGTGTATGACTTGGTTCTGGAAGCCATTCCTCAAGGGAAGTGGCAGAACGTTTTCAGCAAGGACTTCATCGTCAGGGAACATGCGCCTCGCAAGGCCAACATAAATCCTGGGGGTGGGGGGTGGGGGCGGTGTTTTTGGTTTTGAAGCTCTTTTTTCCTCGTAGTTGCTAGAGTTCTCCCTCTGGATGGTCCCTACGTTCCATAGGTCTGGCTGTTCCTGAGACTATTTAAAAGCTTTCCTGATTTGACAGAGCATGGCGGTTAGAGTGGGGTTTCTTCCTGAGCTGCTCAAAAATAGCAGGGGTGCTGTGAAAAGTCAATGGCCACCAGTTGCCCAGTGGGTTTGGCATAAGCCAACTGCGAGGCAGGAAGCCACCGGACACAGTACTGAGTGGGGGTGGATTTTTTGGTCTGGGTCCCTTCCCCCTCCCCACCCCACCACACCCCCCACCCCGTCCTCACTTTTAAGATGAAGCAAGTAAGCAATTCTGGAGCCTAAGAAGGTGAAGACAAATGGATAAAGGAGACATTTCTCTCCTCTCCCATTGGTGTAGAGCATTGCTTGCCCCTCAAAGGGCTTGTCTGAATGGCACCATAAAAGAGAAGAGGAAGATGGAAGGGCACCTCAGGGTGACCCTCGGCATACACCTCAACTCAGGTGGCTGGAGCGATCACTGCCCCTAAGCTTTGCCTCATGTTCTGGCCCTATGATCCCTGAGGGGAGCTCTAAAAACGGCCACTGGGCATCAGCTGATGGACCACAGGAACCTTAGTTAACTGACCGTTGACCCAACCCTCTCAGGAAACCAAAGCCTAGAGGTGACCTGTCCATGTCGCAGGCTAGTCAGTGGCAGGGCCAGGAGGAGCGTTCCTTTCAGCCGTCACCGCCACAGACAGAGGACCTGGCCAACTGCAGACAGTGAAGGAAGGAAATGATCTTCGGTGCCACCTGTGAGCAGATCGGCGAAGGGGCCGCTGTGACTCAAGATTGCCTTGCACAGGGCATCATAAAACCTCCCAGGAAAGGTAACTGAGGGAGGAGGAGAAGGGAAAGAGGAGTACAGATAAATTTATTAGTTAAATACTGATTTTACAGCCATTTCACCTTAAGACAATGTTAACGGGTTAGGGAAAGAATAGGAGGGTGGCCTTCAGGAAAGAAAGCAATGTAAATGATGATTAGAGCAGAATCTTGGTTTCGAGATATTCTCTGCCACAGCCTGTAGGATTTGGGTGGGGCGGGGGAGGCCTCGGTGTTGGGGGTAGGACGCAGTAAGGCCACAGTCTGCGGCAGCTCTGTGGGTAAGGAGGACATGGAGGGAGGAGTCTGTGAGCTCCGGCATCACAGGCAGAGACAGCAACGTGGAGCTACGAAAAAGGCCAATTCCAGTCCAGCCCCGGAGAGCCCTCAAGGCCCAACTCAGTGTCTCCTCTTAGCAGTCGTCATCGTGCTTTTCATGAGTTTTGTTGTGTTTGCTTTGAATTTATGCTGCAAAAGCGCTAGCTTTTCACCTCTTGGACAAAGGATTTCTGATGCCAGGAGGGCACGCTGCACCCTTTGGGTGGACTCGCTGCCTGGCCCAGAGGCCCAGCTCCGCAGAACAGAAGGGGCGCCAGCAAGATCCGAGTGCAAGCGAGCCAGAATCCACGGAAAACCCTGCTCCCCATCCAGTGCCGGCCCAGCCCAGGGCGTCCGGACAGCCCCTCCAGAGGGATCTCAAGTCTTAGGTAAGTGTCGGTCAAACTCGCTTTAGCAGCAGAACTTTTTTGTTCTCACTCAGAACTCCCTGTGCATGATGGGGCGGAGGAAGGATTTTGGGGGGCAGACTCGGGGGGTGCTGCTGTTCGGCTAAACTGCTGAGCTCTTGTTTTGCTGAGGGAGAGACACGGCCAAGCCAGAGGCAGGCTGAATCGCCCGGAGCAGTGGAAGGGATTTTTCTTTTCAGAGGCCTGTGGTGAAGAGAAGGAGCGAAGGGATGACGCTGTGAGCCGGGAAAGGAACATGGGGGAGGCAACATCGCCAAGTTGAGACTTTGCGAAGCCATACTGCATGGTGGGTGAGGCAGCCTCTCCTCCGTCTCCCCACGGAGCACCCAGTAACACGGGCGACGCCCAGCGTTCCTGGAGTCAGGATTCAGTCCTGAGGGGAGCGGGGGTGCTGAGCCTGAAGGGGAGTGTTGGGCACAGGCAGGAGCTGCCTGGAGGGGCCTGTCACAGTGAAAGGCACATGGATGCCCTGGCTCAGGCTGGAGCCGGGTCCCAGCACCTGCCCCTCTCCACACCCTCAGATCCTGGTGCTGGGAACACCAGGGGAAAACCACCGTCTTAGGCCACAGTGATGGAAGGGTAGAGAAGGACAGCTCATCTCTTGTCAGGGTGGAGTGGGGCAGAAAACGAGAAAGAAGTCTCCAGCTCCACGGAAGGGACTTGAGTGTGCTCCTCGCGAAGGGTGGGTGCGTCCAGATCAGAGTTCTGGTCCGTCCCAGCCCCTCGTCTTGAAGAGGCATCTGATGAAATCCTACACCCACTCCCCTCACCAAATCATCGACTTCAAGTTTCTTCCCAGTTGTCCCGGAGTCATTCCCAGACAGAGCAGGCTGGCCACTGGGAGCCGTCCTCGCCTCCGCGGTTCTCCAGTCCCAAGTCTGTGCAGGCATCTGAGGAGGGAGGGAGGTGACATTATGCCGTGATTATGTCCCCGTGACTGTCGGCCAAGGCCAGGCTGTTCCAAGGGTCCTGCTTGGAGCTGGCCTGCGGTGACTGGCTGACAGAAGCTGCGTAGCCTTGTGGAGAGAGCTTCAGGGACGAGAGGACCGGGTGGATGGAGGACCCGTGGCCAGACATGGCGCTGACCGAGAACGTCTGCAAAACAAAGAGGGCAAGATGAGGTCAGTGGGGTCACTCCTAGGGCTCAGGAGGGGGAGCCCCGTAAGGTGATGTCCCCAGGCTGGCTCCCACGCCTAGGAGAGGGACTAGAGGAGCGGCCAACGGACAAGGGCAGGACCCGGGACCCAGCAATACTTCCATTTCCTCCACCCTGTGCTGTGGGTACAGAGGGTCTGTGTGATGCATTAGCTGCCACCGAGCACCATGACCAGTAGGTTGCGACTACTATGGTTTCTCTGAAGGCTCTGATAGTTACCTGAGACCTTCGCTACAATCTCATCACCATCAGCGCCCCACTTTCAAGCAGTAGCCGTCTTCCCATCTGGAAGGGGCTCCTGGCTCTGCTGGTTCTACAGAGCCAGCTGCTCTTCACCTCGACAGCAAAGGGCTGGTTAGACATGGCCTCCCGCAAGTATGGGCAGGGAAGAGGTCAGAGTTAATGGGAAACTGCGACCAGGAACATCCGGATCCCAAATGAGGGGAGCCACAGAGGGAAGGGGGTTCAGGAGCAGGGATGCCATCATTTGCAAAAGAAGAGAATGAGGGGACTGCTGGTCCATCTTCTGGGCACACGAGAAAGATGGCTCTGCAGCTGGCCCTCGTGAAAACGACATCCTGCCTGTGACCTCCTCACCACCCCCAACCCACCCACCCACCGGGCCCTCTACACTTCCACGCCTCTGCCCATGCCAGGAGGGCCCCCCTCCTTCCCTTCCTCCTCCTAACATCTACGCATCCTTCAAGGCCAAGGTCAAACCACCCCTCCCTTAGGAGACAGAGGAGCTGCCCAACATTTGTCTCTCACAGGTGTGTCCAGATTACTGTGGCTTGATCGGATGTGCAGGCAGCCCCCAGCCTCGAGGGGGGCCCTGAGGGCAGTGGGCAGCGGACAAGTCCCTCAGTCACGTGCTCCAGGCCCCAGTGCCAGCCTGGACACCTGGTACTCTAGAACCTACTTCCCCCTGGGCAGTCCTGTTCCCCGCTCAGGGGCGCACCTGGGACATGGAGCTGCTGTGGCCGTAGTGGGACCCCAGCCCGGGCTCTGTCTTGATGGGGCGCATCTCTTCGCTGCTGCTGGTGGTCGCGGTGCTGGAGTTGCTGGAAACGCTGCTGGTGGGAGGGAGGCTCTCGCTGCCCGAGGGACCTGGAACAAGGCAGAGTCAGGACACCCAAGCAGAGCAGAGGCAAGAGGACAAAGGGGTGGCCGTCCTTTGAGACAGCTGGGGTAGGTCCATGCTAATGGCTTCTTTATATTTGCTGTGGCGAGAAGCAGGGGTCCTTCATGGGTGGAGGGCATCGGTTCCCCAAATGAGATTTTTAAGAGAACGTTTTTTTGAAATGACAGGGGCAGCACCCCTTATCCCAAACCCCTTGAGGCCACAGGTGTTTCAGGACTCAAAACTTTTATTTTTAATTTTTAAAAGGGCATATACTGTACATTAGAGGACAACTCCAGTGAGGTCCGGGACAATACCCACATTTAAATGCGTGAATAGTTCTACAGCAAAACATGGGGATATTCACAAGTGTGGCAAATAAAAAACGATACATAGCCTGTGTCTGTTCAGATTGGGTTTTGCTGCCAAATCTAGCCCCCTGGACTTTGAATTTCAGATAGGGGATTGTCCATCTGAACCAAAAACCTGCTCTCTGGGGTGGGTGGGGTTACTTATGAACAGTGCAGCCCACAGGGGAGAGACACTGAAAGGTCTAATGCAGTGGTTCTCAACCTTCCTAATGCCGCGACCTTTTAATACAGTTCCTCATGTTCTGGTGACCCCCAATTTCATTGTTACAAATTGAACATAATTAAAGCATAGTGATTAATCACAAAAACAATATGTAATTATATATGTGTTTTCTGATGGTCTTAGGAGACCCCTGTGAAAAGGTCGTTTGACCCCCCCAAAGGGGTCGCGACCCACAGGTTGAGAACCGCTGGTCTAATGAGACACGGCTGCCAGAGTGGTAAGCACTGCTAAATCCGGGAAAGGGCAACTGTGGTCGTGTTCTTGAGAGTGGAAAGGGGAAATTATCTGACTCTGCAGGGCCAACTTCCCATCAGATCCGCTGGTTTATTTTGCTGTGACTATGGCGTTTCCCAGTGAGATCTTTCCTTTGGTAGCAGCACTGAGGAGGAAGGGCTCTGGGAGGGAACAGAAGTAGTCCTTAGCTTTCATCTAGAGATTGAGAAGGCAGGGTGGTACCTTAAACAGCATTTGGACCCTGACGTGTAAAAACACGAGTCTAACTACCCATCCACATCTATGTGATTCTGGTTAAGCCACTGCCCTCTCTGAGCCTCAGCTTCTTGTTTGTAAAATGGAAATAATAAGGGGGGTCTCATGGCGGGGGGGTGGGGGGGGTCTTTAAAGATCAACGAGAGAATATTTGTGAAGAAATTTTCTAAAGTATAAAGTACTATGTGATGTTCATTATACACTGGCTTACAAACCAGCCTGTCGTGACCATGACTAGATCCCAAAGATGGGGGGACCGAGGACGGTTCCCTTTTCCTTCAGGCCCTCGACCAGTCCAGCTGGCCCACTGCGGCCTTTGCGACCGGCAATGATCAGGCCACAACTTGGCCAGAGCCTGCTTCCAAAGCTCCAATATGTCCCATGGTGATGTTCCTCTTCTACGGGGTTCCTCATTGTGTCCTGAAAAGCTCGGGATGGATGATGCCAACGTTACACCTTGACTCCCTGGGCCGGCTCCCCTTACCAAGAACACGTTCCCACACACTCCATGGACGTCAGCCTTATTCATGTAATTACATGCAGCTCTTGCCCTCACCTGCTGGTGTCTTAGCTTTATTCAGGTTCTTGGGCTTCCGTTTTCTGGTTTGAATCCCCTCTTTCCGCATTGCAAGAGGCCTGGGAACCTGAGATGACAAGTCGATAGATATGGTTTTCCATTTGTACATGATCAGCTACAACATTTCAATACACACACTATGGGAAGACAACATCTAAGCAATTCCTCTGTAAACCGTGGCGCTGAGACTAAGGAAATCAGCCCCTGGAACTTCTGCCAAGAAAGACATCAATTCTGTTCTTTTTAAAAATGTATTGAGCACCTTTATGACATCCTGGGTATTATACTAGACCCTGAAGAAACAGACCGAAGGGCACAGAGCCTTCCCTCCAGAGGTTCAGGTTTAGTGGGAAGGACAGACAACTAGAAAATGACCAGACTCATTGGTGTTGGGGCAGAACTCTGTCCTGGGCGGGGGTGGAGAGGGAATGGCACATGAGCTCATCAAGGAAGGCTTCCCTGAAGGGGGGACGTCTGAGTTGTAGGAGGCTGTGGAGCAGACGGGGGCAGCAGGCACAGTGTGTGCCAAAGCTTTTCATTCATCAGCCACATCAGGACACCGTGAGAGTGAAAAGGCGGTGCTCTTCTCAGTGACGATGCCAAGAAAACAGGCATAAACTGGGACAGTCCCCGGGAGTGAGGATGTAAAGACACACTGCCTACAGCAGCTCTTCACTGCATTGAATCTGACCACAGCCAACAGCGGTGTTTCCATGGGAGCAGCAAGAGATGATGCTGGAGTGACGGACCTGTGGACAGGTGCTGAGATAAACTGTCCGCGGACAATACGTTTATCGCATCTGACTCCTCATAAACATGCAGTGACTGTCAGCTGTCACTCACAGAGGCCTAAACCAGTGCCTGGGGAGCAAGCCTGCATCTTTCTAATGTTTGTCAATGCTGTGCCTTCTCCACATCTGGTTTCTTTTAGGCCCGGCCCACAACAGCATAGTTCCTGGTCTCTGCTTGTCTCCCATATGGGATTAATAAAGGCCACACCTGCAAACACTGAAAGAAAAGCAATCACCACTTCAGAGATGTCAACACCGAACGGTTAAGAGAAGTGCACCAGCGTCCATGAACTTGAACTTGCCTTTTAGTCAACTGAGGGTCAGATGAGATAGCACTCCCAACTTTGGGGGAGGTGTACTCAGGCCCTGGTAAAGCCCATCCCAACTTCAGAGGAATCTTGCCCTCTTCTTTATCCCCACCCACCCTCAGTACTTACTTTTTAAAATTGTGGTAAAATACACATAACAGCCCTGACCAGTTTTCTCAGTGGTGAGAGAGCATCAGTCCAAAAACTGAAGGGTCACAGGTTCCATTCCTGGTCAAGGGCATGTGCCTCAGTCGTGGGTTTGACCCTGGCCCCCTGGTTGGGGTGCGTGCAGAAGGCAACCAGTCAATGTGTCTCTTTCACAACAATGTCTCTCTCTCTCTCTCTCTCTCTCTCTCTTTCTCTCTCCTCTCTCTCCCTTCTACTCTCTCTAGAAATCAATGGAAAAAATATCCTCAAGTGAGGATTAAAAAAACAACAAATACACATAACATAAAATTTACCATCTTAACCATTTTTAAAACATATTTTTGTATTGCTTTCAGAGAGGAAGGGAGAGGGAGAGAGAGATAAAAACATCAATGATGAGAGAGAATCATTGATTGACTGCCTCCTGCAGGCCCCACACTGGGGATCCAGCCCGCAAGCCGGGCATGTGCCCTAACCAGGAATTGAACCGTGAACTCCTAGTTCATAGGTTGATGCTCAACCACTGAGCACGCTGGTTGGACACCATCTTAACCATTTTTAAGTATACAGTTCAGTGGTGTTAATAAGCACAGTCACAATGTTGTGCAGCCATCACCACCATCATCTCTAGAACTCTTTTCATCTTGCAAAACTGAAACTCTGTCCCAGACCCTGGCAACCACCATTCTACTTTCTGCCTCTGAATTTGACCACTCTTGGTACCTCGTGTAAGTAGAATTGTATAGTGTTTGACCTTCTGTGACTGACTTATTTTACTCAGCATAATGACTTCAAGGTTCATCCATGTTGTAGCATGTGTCAGAATTTTCTTTTAAAGGCTGAATAATATCCTATTGTATGTATATACCACATTTTGTTTATCCATCCGCCTATCAATGGACATATGGGTTGCTTCCACCTTTGGGCTATTGTGAAAAATGCTACCATGAACACGAGTGTACAAATATCTGTTCAAGACCCAGTTTTCAATTCTTTTTGGAATTGAAAAGTCTCAGAGATGGGTCATATGGTAATTCTACTTTTAGTTTTTTAATACTGCATAATATTCCTCTATAACCCTCCCCCACTCCCCATTGGAGAATAACTGTTTCTTTAACCATTTTCCTCCTGGAGCGTTTTCTCCATTTTTACTATTACAGTGATTCAACAAACATCCTTATATACATTCATTGAAGAATACACAAGTGTATTATCTTATGAATGTTCTTAGAGATATTTTAGCCACTTTTTGCTCATTAAGATGAAAACACGCGTGAGATTAAGTTCATAACACCCCTCCCAGCCCACTACCATCAATCCTGTCCCCATGAGGCAACTGGAGAAATAGACTGTTCCTTACTGTGTTCCAATACAAACACTGCAGCAATAAATACATCAAACATCATGTATTGATTCTTTTATTGTTTTATAGGCTAGTTTCTCAAACTTGTATGCACTGATGCATATCTATACATGCATGTATGTATGTACTCATCCATCCTTCCATCTGTGTGTATGTCTAATGTACCCTGACCTCCATAGGATAGGGTCATACTATGTATATATTTCTTTGCAATATGTTTTTTCATTACTCCAGATCAAGACACATTCCTTTTTTAATTTCTGTGCAACAGTGTACCTTATAGGATGTGCCATAATTTACTCAACCGTTTCTTTATGAGGCTGGAAGACTGTTTCTATTTTTTGCCAATACAAACACTGCAGCAATAAATACTTCAAACATCATGTATTGATTCTTTTATTGTTTTATAGGCTAGTTTCTCAAAAGTAGAGCTGCTACATCAAAAGGTGTGTGTGTTTTTAACCTTAGTAAGTACTGCCAGCTTAATTTCCTGAAAGAATATTTGTAATAACTTACATACAAATCAGCAATATACAGTACGAGAGTATTTGTTTTCCCAAATCCACACCACAGCTATATTATCACGCATTTTAATTTTTGCCAAACACATGGGCAACACAGGGAACCTCAAGGTTGTGTTAACTGACATTTCCCTGATTTTTAGTGAGGCCCAGCCTCTCTGCACATGTTCAGTGGCTAACCAGAGCGGCTTCTGTGAATTATATGTTTATTTCTTTTGCCCATTTGGGGAAATGGGGGAAGATGGATTGTTCATTTTCTTATTATTCTGTAGGATCTCTTTTTTTGTTTGTTTTGCTTGTGTTGTTTTAGTTTAACTTATATTTGAGCAACTAAGACATGCACCAACTAAAAGTTACAAAGGGGGTACACAGTGAAAAAACAGATCCCTCCAACTCTCCAGTTACTTCTCCTAGAGCAACCCATGCTACATGCTACCAGTTTCTTATGTATTCTTCCAGGTGTTCTCTGTGTAAATAAACAGCGACATATAAATTACGTTCTTTCTCTTTCTTCATAAAAATGGTGCCATACTGTGTACAATATTCTACACTGACTTTTTAATGGAGATTGTTGCAAATCAGAACATGAAGAGCTTTGTAAAGCTCCCTGTATTCTGGAAATATGAGCCCTTTTGCTGATATGTGTATTGGTTTTTACTTTCCTGAGGTATCTTTTTTCTGTACACTAATATTAAATGTTCTAGAATCAAATATACCTGACTTTTATCTTATGGCTTAAGAGTTCTGAAAACTTGTCTAACAAGTTCTCCTCTCACCCACAAGGTTACACAAATATTATCTCCTACATTTTCTTCTCGTATTTTTATTGTCTCTATTTAAAGATATTTTACATTTCATACCTTTAATTCACCCAAGCTTATTTTTGGTTTTGGTAGGAGGTGGAGGTCAAGCTTTGCTTGTGTTTTCCAGATTTTATCAATACGATTATTCTTAAGCTATCTTTTATCCATTGAATTGCTACCTTCTTTTTTTTCATACTAACCATATATAGAGACTATTCTGAGTCGCCTCATCTGTAAATGGGAATTAGACTTATATAATGTTAAAGATGAAGTGAGTGTCAGTGTTTCTGCTATGGTATGAAATTCTGTGTCTCCCCAAAATTCATGTTAGAAAGGCGATGGTGTCAGGAGCTAGGGCCTTTGGGAGTTGACTAGGTCATGGGGGTGGAGCCCTCATGAATGGGATTAATAGCCTCATAAAAGAGACTCCAGAGAGCTCCATCATGCCCTGCATGTGAGGAAAAGTCTGTGACCTCCACTATGCTGGTACCCTGATCTCCAACTCTTAGCCTCCACACTGAGAGGAATAAATTTCTATTTAGAAGTCACCCGGTCTGTGGTATTCTGTTGGAACAGCCTGAATGGACTAATGTAGTCTGTATGGTTCCTTCCATATCTAAATACGTCTGTTAAGAAGGAAAAAATAAATTATAGTGTGAAGGGAGAAAGACGAGTGAGGACTGAGTGATGGGTATGAGAGAGCAAGGATGCTGGTCTAGGTGGTGGTCCTGCCAGGGGGGTGGGACTACTTACGCCGTGGAGCTTCATGTACAGGCCGCAGGCGTTGCACACGGGCTCGCCCTCCGCGTTGCGGCGCCACAGCGTGGTGGTGGTGGTCTGGCAGTTGGCACAGGAGAGGCCCACTCTGCGGGAAGCGGACTGCAATACAGGAGACAAACCCTTCAAGTCCAAGTAAAAGGCAGGTGCTGCTCCTTCTGCCTCACAGGGAGGGAGTGCAGCAGGGCTGAGCCTCCCCTATGTGGGTGGTGGGAGCAGGTGATCATAATCCTGTGTGAGCATCTCAGGCCAGCCAGAGTGCCAGGGCCTCCCTTCACCTGGCCGCTCCTAGGGCGGGTGGGGTGGGGAAATGTATGCCCTGGGAGAAGAGTGAATGCTAGTCCGGACTGTGGCTTAGCGACGTTATTAGTCATTCACTATTAGATGGAAAGTCCAATGAGCACTGGGCACTGGAGGCAGAAAAGCAGAATTAATATGGTTTTCAAGTGGTGGGTGAGGATTTATTGTATCCAAGTGTCATCAGAGACTGGATGGGCTGTGGGACCTCAAGAAAGGGAAACATCAGGGTTGATCTCCTCTGTTCTTCCCTCCCTAATATACATGAGAGCCAGTATGTATTGGTCAAAATCAAATTATAGTAAGAAAGGCCCACGGAACAAAGAACCAAAAACTCAATTCCAAACTCTTCCTCGGCCACAGGTCAGGTACACACTGTTTAACCTCCCTGGCATTTGGGTTGATCAGTTGAAAAACGGGTAAGTAACAAAGGAATAAAGGAAGAGTTGACCTTCCTTATGGAGTTGATGGGAGCACAGGAGACGTACAAGAGAACGCTGGACTGGGAACCAGGAAGTCTGGACTCACTCATATGTGACCCCAGGTGAGCCACTAGCTTTTGTGAGCCTCACTTTTCACTTCTGCATAATTAAGGGCTTGAATTAGATGTTCCTATGAAGATTAATAAATAGAAACCTCATTTAAATTGAAGCTGGGAGGGGCTGTCAGGGGAGTCTCATGTGGTACACTCATCATAATTACTTCAAACAAGAGACATATTTTCCATCTCCAACAGGAAGAAGTTTTTCTACTCTACTACTCCAGCAGGTAGAAGGAGGGTCTTCTCCTCCCCCCACAAGACTTACAGCTCAGCCAATGAAAAGCCACAATACTTCTAACTCCCAATTTCTTCCAATGGACTCTCTGTTTACAACAGCTCCTCCTTCCTCTATGAAAGAATGTTCCTCTCCTTTGTCATCTGGACTTGGCATGGTTCACCAGTGGACCACATGCCCCGAATTACAAATCTTCGTTGTTGCAGAATAAACCCATTTTGCCAGAGAAATATCTGGCTCTTTGCTCAAGGTCAAGTCTGGAACACCTTGTAGCTCAAGCTAACTTAACTCTAAAGGTGTGAGAAATTACTATGTAGCCTCCATCCATCGACCCAACCCCTCAAACCATACCTTCTTCTAAAGATGACTTGAAATCCAAAATTCAAAACCAGGAAATGTCCCACCAAGGTAGGAGCCAGGGGCTGAGAAGAGCGAAATGTGCCCCACCCCCACCCCAGGCTGTTGGACTTCTGTGGTCTGGGTACTTGCTTACCAGCCGGCGCTGGGGCTTGATGAGGGGCCGGTTGATACCGTTCATCTTGTGGTAAAGGCCACAGGCGTTGCATAGGTAGTGCCCTGTCCCATCCCGCCTCCAGAGTGGGGTAGACATGGCCCCACAGTTGACACACTCTCTGCCTTCCGAGAAGTCATCAAACATATCTACTGGGTGGGAAAGAACACAGAGGATTAATTATTTGTTTATTCATATTAACCTCATGTCAGAAAATCTAGAGACCAAAGAAATAATGCCCTTTCCTTGAAAGGAGTGCAGGATGGATAGCTTTGGGGCCTCACTTTGACCTTAACCCCTGGGGATCTATCTGCTCCAAGGACTGTCATGGGAAGTGGACATGTTTACTCTCGGACATCCCAGACACAGCAGGGCTCTCCCCAGTCAGGAGACAGGAAGAAAGTCTGGCAGCAACCACCAGCAGCCTGATTTTAGTCCCTCATCTCTCCTTCTGAGCCTGTAACTCTGAGGTTTTTATCTAACACTCAGATCCACTCTGACTTTCTGACTCTCTCTCCCTTTTTCCTTTCAAAGTTAAGATTCCTTTGAATAAAAATTATAAATATTTACTTCAGGAAAATAAGAAAACACTGAAATGTGTAAAGAAATATAAATTACATATAATCCTATAACTCGAAGATCACCAGTGTCATTAGCATTTTGTTCTATTATATCCTTTGGAATACTTTATATAAATTGACATATATTTTTCCTGGTTGAGGTCAAGCTATATAATTTTGAGCCTGTTTTTTCACTTAATGCCAAAGCCTTTCCCACATTAGAAAATCTTCATAAGCTCATTTTGAGTGCATTATAAGATCCCATCACATAAATGGGCCATCCTTTGATTACCATCATTGACCTTTACTTAATCATTACCCAGTTTTTCACTTTTATTTTGTAAACATGGCTCATTTTGTATACAAATGTTAGCATTTCTGGTTATTTCTTAGGATACTCCCCTAGAAGTAGAATTAATGAACCAAAAGGGACTACATTTTCTGAAAGTTCTTGAAATTTTAAACTGCCCTGCCCTACTCCCCCCCCAAAAAGGCTGTAATTCATTTCCTCATTTCAATATGCCTGTATGATATTCTGAATCACAATTTGACATATTTTCTTGCTTATTGATACATAAAATAAAGGTACATGTGATAGCAATGCTGACAGAGTTGATCACACGTCTATGGGAAAGTTGCCGTCATTTGTCACTCCCCTGCCCTCCCCCAGCCCCATTACCTTTATCTTCCACGCCTATAGAATTTTACAATTGGTAAATTCCACTCATGTCCAGTTCAGTTGCCCTGGCAAAATTGGCTGGGCCACTTTTGTTATCCCCTATGATTTATATAAAGCCTGGCTTGGAATTTGCAGAAGTCTCTCTGACTCCGCGAACATGGCTTCTTATTTTGAAAGATGTTTATATGTTTTCCGAATGTTCTCTGTCCCTAAACATAGCTACCTTGGTGTCCAGATTGTCCTTGTCCTACTACCAGAGGCAAGAGTGGATTCTTCTCTAGTAAGGGGGGCGATATTTGAAGGGGGGGGGGGTTCTTTTAATATATTTTTATTGATTTCAGAGAGGAAGGGAGAGGGAGCGAGAGATAGAAACATCAATGATGAGAGAGACTCATTGATCAGCTGCCTCCTGCATGCCCCCCACTGGGGATCGAGCCTGCAACCCGAGCACGTGCCCCTGAGTGGAATCGAATCCGGGACCCTCCAGTCCACAGGCCAACGCTCTATCCACTGAGCCAAACCAGCTAGGGCTGGAGGGGAGGGTTTTTAAGAGCTCTCTCTCCATCAGGACCCAGCCCTGGGGTGTCAGGCTGCACATTCTGCTATTTCTGTGACCCCATGATACCTGCTCTAAGGAAACAGTGGGCTGAAGAAGAGGATGGCCCTCCCCTCAACTCTGGGTACACAAACAGTCATTCGCACCTGCAAACAAGTAGCTGTATGTCTACACCGAGTCAACAGTGTGCAGGTGTGAGGGGCTGTTTGCTCAGGCCAGGGAGCTGAGCACACACTGGTCACAGGAGAGGCTATTTTTGTACCTGGGTCACACTGGGAACCCTGCAGCAAGGTCACCTGCCTGCACAGCCGCACATGAAAAGGAGACTCCGCTCCACAGCTTGCTTCCCCAAGCCTGGGGGAGGCGCGGAGTGAGGAGCAACCTGCCACCACGCTCACTACCATCAAGGCCTCCTCCACCTTCATTCCAGGCAGGCTTGTACCTGCCCTTGCCTGCGGTTGGTGGCCCTGCTCCCTCAGCCCAGGCCTTCCCTGAGGGAACTGGAAAGGCCAGGAGAGTTCACAGAAGGGCCTTAGACTACCCAGGGGCCCTTGCAATGTCATCATTTTGTTGAGTGTTTGTAATAAACACTAGATGGCACTACAGCCTCAAAATTGAAACAAGACACTGGCATCTGGTATAAAATCAGGCTTGGGAAGGACCAGTCTCACCAGTCCTAACCTAGGACAACCCTCTTACTCTTTTTTTTTTTAATGAAAAAATTTAAACATATTCAAAAGTGAAGAGAATTTAAAAGTAAACTTTTTTTTTCTTTCTTTATTTTTTCTTTATTTATTTTTCTTTATTGAATAAGATATTACAAATGTGTCCTTATCTAAACTCCTTTTTAAAAATTATGTTTTTATTAACTTCAAAGAGAGGAAGAGAGAGGGATAGAGAGATAGAAACATCAATTGGCTGTCCTGTGCACTCCCACCACTCGGTATTGAGCATATGCCCTGACCAAGAATTGAATCGGTGACCCCTTGGTTCATAAGTCGATGCTCAATCACTGAGCCACTCACCAGCTGGGCAAAATAACTCTATTTAATAATTATTCAGCTCCCAACAACGTGTGCCCACTTTTGTCTCCTATACCTCCACCCACTTCCCCCGTCTGGCAGAGCTGGAGAAAGTCCCACACATGCTACCACTTCATTCACAAATACTTCAGTAAGGAGTTCTCAAGGGTGGTGATCATCTTTTTAAAGATAAGCAATCTGGCTTCTTTCCTACGTTCCGGAGACAAAAAGTGCATAAACTGTTCTTCTTTCTTTTTTTTTTTTTTTTTAATATACTTTATTGATGTTTTACAGAGAGGAAATGAGAGGGATAGAGAGTTAGAAACATCAATCAGCTGCCTCCTGCACACCCCCCACTGGGGATGTGCTCGCAACCAAAGTACATGCCCTTGACCGGAATCGAACCTGGGACCCTTGAGTCCGCAGGCCAATGAATGCTCTATCCATTGAGCCAAACCAGTTAGGGCCGTTCCTCTTTCTTTTCCCTTCACACTTACTGTTTTATAGTTGGGCAGACTCATCTAAGAGGCCGCCTAACAACCCTCGGCTGGTTCCTGGACTTTTACTGCTTTGAGAAGCCAACACAAAGGTTTGCCTTAGGACAGTGATGGCGAACCTACGACACCTCTGACACGCGAACTCATTTTTTTGGGTTGATGTTTCTTTGTTAAATGGCATTTAAATATATAAAATAAATATCAAAAGTAAGACTTTGTTTTACTCTGGTTGCAAATATCAAAAAATTTCTATGTGTGACACGGCACCAGAGTTAAGTTAGGGTTTTTCAAAATGCTGACACGCCGAGCTCCAAAGGTTCGCCATCACTGGCCTAGAACTCCTTCAAGCTTGCCTCCCAGAATGGGTTACACAGCCAAGCAGCTGTTTGACTGGCCAGGGAAAGGCAGTGGAGGCTGGTAAGTACGCCCAACTGTTCACCGAGCACCTGATATCTAAGCACTCGTACAGACGCCATAGGGGCTAAGGTGAGTCTTACTCTCAGAATGCTAATGACCTAACTTGGGCAATTGAGCCAGAACACCAATTCCGAGTAACGACGTTACTCAACTCATTTTCAGAACATACCTTAACCAAGCTGGGCTTTGGGTGGCAGAAACTTCTTGTCTAGGGTGGAAAGTGCAGAAGTCCGACTCAGATCGAAAGGTCGGGAGGTCACACCAGCAGCCAAAGGAAAGAACTGAATGGGAGGGCAAGGCCATCCTTCCTAAAGGCACTCCCCTGACCCTCCCCCCCACCCCCATCAGACACATGTCTTCCCCACAACCCCCTACATCTTCAAATCTGCACAAGTCCATATTCTCTACCAGAAAATTGCCATCCAACCTACCCAATGAACAGTTATATCATTTTAAGTGATTATTATAAAGACCATGTGACAATAGAGGAAAATGCTTATCCGACATGTTAAATAAAAAATGCAGCACACAAAATGCCATGTAAGGAACTTCTGTTAGGCTACTTGGATTGTATGAACATATATATATTGATTTCAGAGAGGAAAGAGAGAGAGAGAGAGAGAGGAATGATGAGAATCATTGATCGACTGCCTCCAGCATGCCCCCTACTGGGGATGGAGCCTGCAACCTGAGCATGTGTCCTTGACCGGAATCGAACCCGGGACCCTTCAGTCCACAGGCCAATGCTCTATTCACTTAGCCAAACCAGCTAGGGCTGAACTTATCTTTAAAACAACAACAAAAACACCATTCTGTAATGTCATAATTGCCTGTTTTTAAAATCTGACCAAAAAACTAAAAATGAAACAAAAATAATTTTGATCAGACCGCCTCAAGCAACTCCCAGTCCACTATGGAGGAAGGAACTATTTTACTCTCTTACATTTGACACATGTCTCTCCTGCACCCCCACCCCTTGGACTGAAAAACGGGGAGAAAGAAGTGCAAACCCTGCTGCTTAGCACCCAATGGGGAAAACGGGAGGTGACAGGCTGCAAGCCCCAAACCAGCACTAGTGTCTGGAGGTGTGTACCTTGGTAACAGCCACCTCCTCTTATTCCCTCATTAGAAATGGGTAGGGCGGAACTTCCTGAGGGCAGCGGGCAGCAGCCTGAAGCCAGTTCCTAAGCCTGATTTCTAAGGCAGAAGGGCACAGCTATGGCCTTGACTTAGGAAATCCCCACCCACCGGGTGCTGGCCACCATGGGAATCGGCCCTGCCACTGAGAAGGCAGGGGGAAGCCAGCTCTGGGAAGTGGGTCAGCATCACCCCACATCCAGAGGAAAGACTTGTAATAATAATTGTGAAGTACTTTGCAAATAAAAGGAAAAACTCACAACAATGGCTGTAAAGTGCTTTGC